GATCCATTTTTAAATAATAATTTCTAAATCAACGTATTTTTTTTTCTTCTCGGCATTTTACTGTAGAAAATTTATCAAATTATTGAAATAAAATTTTCCGCTTTCAAATGGCTACGAGCACCCTGGCTTCCTATTTTCTGGTGCCCTCCGCCAAGTACTTTGTTGATTCCATTTGATAATAAAACCAAATTTATAATCATTAATCTTTTTTTATTCTGAAGAAGTCCTCAGCAGGGAACCACGGAGTAATTACCTTCTATTCCCCTCATAAATCCTGGTCAGAATGCAACATGAATAATGAGAACAATGATGATAATGAACGTATGGTATTCCTTTTTAATTACGTGGCAACTCACGTGTCACTCGTAAGAATTACCTGTTCCTCTGTTAAGTCAAGTTAAAATATCTTTCATTAAACTGACCAATGATAACCTGGATTACATTCAATTTAACTAAAACTGGAAATAAAGCAAAATGTAACGATCGAGGGACAAAAAAAAACAAAACAAAAAAAAAACATTTAGGTCAAGTTACAATATCTTTCGTTGATAAAAATTAACTGACCAATGATAACCTATATTACATTCAATTTAACTAAAACTGCAATAAAAAAGGAACAATCGAAGGGAAAAAAAAAACAAACAAACACATTAGGCCCTTCTTCAGTACATGGAAGAACCTTCACCCAAAATGACATTTACGAAATAATCAAACTATCACTCTCCCACCAATACGATTTAATAAATTACAATACATGATAACCCAAAGGCCTCATGACCACTCACTACCCTTTACCCATTAAAACGAACTACAAAATACAAGGACAGTGATATCATTGAAGCACCAACATACTCACAAGGCATTTGTTGAAATGAAAAATAAATATGTGTCACCTTCTCCCTAGCTGATCATCCAGTGAGCGATTAGTGCAAGGTAACGTAGACAGAGGGCGTCGAAACCTGATCAGCTGATTTACGTAAAAAAAAAAAAAGGAGCGAGAAACGTAGGGGGGTGGGGGGGGGTGGGGGGACGCTTACCTCCATGGAGCGTTTTAGCTGACTATGAATTAGTGGTAGTAGTAATAATAATAATGAAAATAGTAATAATGATGATAATAATGATAATAATTTTGATAATGTTGATGATAATGATAATAATTATAATGATAGGAATAATAATAATAACAGTGATAATAACGATAATAATAATAAAAAAATAATGATAATAATAATAATGATAATAATAATAATGATAATAATAATAATCATAATGATAATAATGACAATAATAATAATAATAGTAATAATAATAATAGTAATGATAATAATAATGATTATATTTATGATAATATTGAAAATAATAAGGTTAATAGGAATAAAAATATACAAAGAAATAGAAGAGGAATATGAACAAGAAGAACAAGAACGACAAAACCAAAAACACAACAAAAAGAACAATAATGACGATAATAAAGTAATGATGATAACGACAATAATAATATTAGTAATATAATGATAATAATGATAATAATAATAATAATAATAATAATAATAATAATAATAATAATAATAACAATAAGGATAATAACAATGATAATAATGATAATAGTAATTATTGTAATGAAAATGATAATAATGAATATAACAATAATGATAATAATAATAATAATAATAATAATAGTAATAATAATAATAATAATAATAATAATAATAATAATAATAATAATAATAATAATAATAATAATAATAATAGTAATAATAATAATAATAATAGCAGCAACAATAATCATAACAACAACAGTAGTAATAACGACAACAACAGTATAATAAAAAGCATAGCAACAACAACAACAAAAACAACAACAATAGTGAATCAGTTCCAATATTTAATCTTTTAATGATATTGTCCAAAGAACGGATCATTATACGTCGCCATTCGTCCTCTGCGGTCGTGGTGTTTCTAATTACATGTATTAATCAAACAAATAACTGTATTATCATTCCTAGATCGTATTTTACTGATAACTTTATCATCTAAATTCCGAATGTATTGTCCTTTGCAACAGAGACATTGCCGAAGCCGAGAGGATTTCTTTGTCTCTCTCTCTCTCTCTCTCTCTCTCTCTTTCTCTCTCTCTCTCTCTCTCTCTCTCTCTCTCTCTCTCTCTCTCTCTCTCTCTCTCTCTCTCTCTCTCTCTCTCTCTCTCTCTCTCTCTGTCTTTTTTATTCGCTTTTTGTTTGTTTGTTTGTTTCTTTCTTTATCTCTCGCATTCCCTGTTTCTGTCTTTGTCTTTGTGGTGATTTTTACTTTGTCTGTCCTGTCTGTACCTGCTTTCTGTCTGTTGTCTGTCTGTCTGGCTCTCTGTCTCCCTAACTCCCCCCCCCCTCTCTCTCTCTCTCTCTCTCTCTCTCTCTCTCTCTCTCTCTCTCTCTCTCTCTCTCTCTCTCTCTCTCCTCTCTCTCTCTCTCTCTCCTCTCTCTCTCTCTCTCTCCCTCTCTCTCTCTCTCTCCTCTCTCTCTCTCTCTCC